CCCCAAAACCCCAAAACCCCAAAACCCCGGTCTATAAATATTTTTATTTTCAAAAGAGAATAGAAAATATATATTAATAGTATTAGACAATTCAATACATTTATTACCAATGAAAAAGAATACACAGTTAGAATTAAATAATGAAGAAGGTGACTTCTTTGACGGTATTAAGCCTAATATTATTTAATGTTTTATTTTAGATGTGGATGAAGGTTTTTATTTGAGTCAAAACGGATCGATACTCAAGTATTTGATTACTAATACTTCTCATTTAAAGATAATCACTGACTGAGGTCTAGCCCCAACCCAGTCAACAACTAGTATTAAGACTGCCATTTTCCTAAGCTCCAATGATTTTAATCCAGGTAATATAATTTAGTCTTGAAATTTATAGACAGGAATCAATGTAATGATAATCTTAATTTAGATGGATTAAAGGATTAATAGTATTGTGCGGTTTATAACAAAGTCTGACCTGAAATTTATTCAGACTCCACGGAAAATCAGATCATTAGTCCGCCAACTGAAAAGCTTAATCACGACTTTAGTCTTGAAAATATGATATTCGCTGCTCCTTTATCAAGAAATAACCAACTATCTCAAAATGAGCCAAAAGCTGAAAAGCTTTCTTTTCAAGTAGAAGATAGCTATCATCCTTATTCAACTGAGGGAAGATGTATTTCCAGAAAGAGAATTAATGAGACATATTATTAGAAAGCAGATAAGACTAAGAATGAATTGGCAAAATACAATCATTAAGATTAAGTCTATCACAAAACTTCATATTCTGTTGAGATCCTACAGTAATCAATGAATAAAAATATCCTGCTCTAGAAATCTCCAAGAGCACAAAACTTGCTCATATAAAAATAAACTCTAGATATTCCTAAATAAGATCAAGAAAAATAAAACTTAATCAAATTAGAGGATATTGGAGGAAAAAATTTCTAAGGAGAATATGGCTAATTGAGCTCCAGGAGCGATAACTCAAGATAATCAACTGTTAATTAAAAGAGGTATTTTAAAAGCAAAAGATTAGATTCTAATAATCAGTTAAACATTTATACCAACCATTTTACTTTTTAGTTACCAAAAAGACCTGAAACTACTCTAATAAATTTACAAAAAAACAAAAGTATTTTGCAGCAAAAGCCTAATCTATTTGGATCTGTAGAATCCAAAAACAATAAACCAAATTAAAAAAATTAAAGCAATAATAAAAATGAAATGAATTAACAATTGAAAATATTTGAATACGATAATATTAATATGGAAAAAATGGCTTAACAAAGAGCAAAGAAAAATTTAAGTAGGCTAAGTAGTAATGAGGGTAGACATTCAAATATGAGCAATTATAAGTACAGGGATTTTAGCCCATCGAGTTCAATAGTACCCACTTAATATAAAACATCATAAATAAGTTCCATTATTAATAGTAACCTGGATTAGTTATAGAATATGAATATGAAGGTTGGATCCCAAATCTAAGTTTATACAAGAAACTCAAATTAAACTACTAGAAAAAGTAGTAATAACATTTCTAACCTCCTGAAGATTTTTTAAAATACATCCACTAATCATCAAAATCGAAAGACAAGCAAAAGCAAGCTTTCGTTTTCACCGGTGAGGGAGTTTGATTCAATAATTAATAAAGATTTGATAGATTTATTAGATTAAAAGCTATCAAGAGTCATTAAAAATTAAACTATCAATCATACGATTTCTATTACAAGTAATTAAAATCAATAAGGCAATAATTTTTCATTCTCTTCTTTAATGAATATCCTATAGGAGTTAAACCTAATAGGCTAAACTTCTAAGAAATAGTAAGATATGATTAAAAAACTGATTAATAAAGAACTATAAAGAGAAGAGGATCAAGATATTTTTTCCTTAAGAACCTTGAAAGTTTTGGTTTATAGCTTTAGTAAATTGTGGTCCTCGGATCTTATGACATCCTCTTAATTAAATTTAAGAAAACTTACAGATGATACCATGCCTATTAAAGAACTTTACTTCGACAACAAGCAGTAATTTGAAAACTTTTGTTAGAAGATACTAGCAAAATCACAACCAAATAATTAGAAAAAGACATCAACATATCTTTCTCCTCATAGATTCACATAGTCAGAAATCCAGATATACAAATAGTCATTTGGAACTGAGAGAGGTAAAGATGATCTATCTAAGAGACTGAGCGATGTAGCAATAAGTAATGTATTTAAATCCAGAAATAATCATTAATCAAATAAAACTGCCAATAATGGAGATAAGGATTTTTCTAGAAGTTCAAAGCTTAGTCCTTAATTTAGAGTTAGTGCAACATCATTTAGTAAACATAGAGAAGAATTAAAATTCTTAAGCAATGGGCAAACCAGAAATAAATCACAGAATAAACTAAAGATTAATACTGTACAAACGTCTGTAAGTTTTAAGTCAGCATTCTGCAACAATACTAATAAACAGACAAAAAGCACAATTAATTCTCCAAGAGGAGATTAATCAAAGATGTGTCTAGCAATTAATCAGAAATCAATGAGATAGAATTTGTCACCAAATGGTCTTAAAACAATAGAAAATTTTTCATTCAGCAAAAAACCAATAAAAAGGAAGAATACGACTAAATAATAGGAGAAGGGCAATGGTAATATCGGAGATTACTTCAATATAAAGCCATAAGAATCAAAGAATAAGATTAAATTTAGCATGAGAAATCAGAATAATAAACAGAATAGTGCAGTCAAACCCCAAACATCTACTGATAAATTCAACCCAATATTATATTAAAGAAAGTAACTAATGGGCTACAATAAAGATCTAAAACCTAAAGCTAGCATTAGTAGCAAAAATTACTTCCACAATAAGTCACAAAGCTTTTAATCATCAAAAGATATACAGCCAGCTTTAATACATGACTCATCTAGTAGGGAGATAATTCTCTATTTAGATGTAAACATAGGAGGAGGCTAAATGCATGAGCTGATAATTCATCAAGGGGATGATGTAAATGAGATAGTTCAGTAATTTAACATTAAATATAACTTGAATGAAAAGAAATCGGATAAACTACTATCAGTGGTATAAGAATGTATGAAGAAAAATCTGTAGAAAATAGATGAAAATGAAGAAGATGACCTCTAGGAGGATGGACTGGAAGTTGATACGAATTTGGAATTGAATTCTGAATTCCTAGTAGAGTGCCATCATGAGGAGTAAACTGGTGGAGACGATGAAAGTATCATACAGTTTTAGGCCTCAGATTTTAACTATCATTGATTATTGACTTCACAATTCAAAGCATAATAGATGTAAATTTGTGCTATAAATTAATTCGAGAATTACGATTCATTAATAAATTCTGTTATATGGGGTTTTGGGGTTTTGGGGTTTTGGGG